TGTTGACCAAAGTCAACTTTAATCATGTTAATATCAAAATTCTTCAAATTTTTCTCAGAATTCATAAATTTCAACACAAAAATTTTTCGGCTACGCGCCCGGACTGCACACGCAGATCGAGGCAAGTAAAAATGAGGTTTTCAAGGCCTCGGAAGCACGGAACGAGTGAGGAAACAGGTGATGACCCTTTGGGTCGTCACATCCTCCACCTCTAAAATAACCGTTCGTCCTCGAACGGACAAAAGAAAGAAGTACCTGAGTCGGGGAACAGATGTGGATAACGGCTCCGCATGTCAGACTGGGACTCCCAGGTCGAGGCCTCAAGGGGCTGACCTCTCCACTGAACACGAACAGAGGGAAAACTCCTAGATCTCAACTGACGAACCTGCCGGTCCAAAATAGCTACCGGCTCCTCCTCATAAGATAAATCCTTATCCAACTAGACATTGCTGAAGTCTAACACATGGCTAGGATCGCCGTGATACCTCCGAAGCATAGACACATGAAAAACTGGATGCACGGCTAATAAGCTAGGTGGCAATGCAAGTCTATAAGCCACCTCTCCTACTCGATCGAGAATCTCAAACGGACCAATGTACCTAGCGCTAAGCTTACCCTTCTTTCCGAACCTCATCACGCCCTTCATAGGCGACACCCGGAGCAATACCCGCTCACCAACCATGAAAGCTACATCTCGAACCTTATGATCTGCATAGCTCTTTTGCCTAGACTGAGCTGAACGAAGTCTGTCCTGAATGACTGACCTTCTCCAAGGCCTCCTGAACTAAATCTGTACCTATCAACCGAGCCTCTCCCGGCTCGAACCATCCAATCGGAGACCGACACCGCCTACCATATAAGGCCTCATAAGGAGCCATCTGGATGCTCGACTGGTAGCCGTTATTGTAGGCGAACTCTGCTAAAGGCAAAAACTGGTCCCACGAGCCTCCAGAATCAATGACACAAGCTCAGAGCATATCCTCCAAAATCTAAATAGTCCGCTCGGACTGAGCGTCCGTCTGAGGATGGAATGCTGTGCTCAACTGAACCTGGGTGCCCAACTCTTGCTGAACTGCTCTCCAGAAGCGCGAGGTAAACTGCATACCCTGGTCCGAAATGATGGATATCGGCACACCATGAAGGCGGACAATCTCCCGGATATAAATCAAAGTTTGTTGCTTTTATATAAACTCTCAGTATGACTAGTCAGAAAAGCAAGAATGGAATTTTTTGCAAAAGGAAGATAAGAGATTCTTCCAACCTTATCCAGAAGTCTCGGTTCGAATTCGTATATGAAAAAAGTCTTTTTATGGAGCACTTTTTCCTTAAATATGCCTTATGCAGTGCGGATTCTAATATAGTCGAATTTCAATACGAATATCGAACACCGAATGGAAAAAAAGACAAAGAGAAAGTAGAAAATATTTGCGGGAGACTCTTTTCAGTTTTATCATGTTTCGAAAGGTTTCACACCATTTTCTAATATAATAACTTCACAACTTTCGAAGATTACTTCAATAAACTATTCATCCCAACTTTTTATTTTGGTGTGGTGTTCCTTATATTAAACTAACTTATCAACCCAAACAATTAACTTAGCAACCATCAATCTAATATATATCCTCTACTACCACTAATATAAACATATCTTAATTGTAGTTAAGTATTCTCATGTGAATGGGAGGGAGTTTATTTTCCATTATATTTAGCGAAACAAGTTTGAACCTTTTTTTTTTGTTTTACCACGTTCTTATATTTCAATTAATTCTTCTCTTCAGACCTTTTAAAAAGAGAATTTCAAGGTATATATAGTGTGCACTCGTGAATAGTGAAAAAGGAAATGATAGAATAATAATGGAGGGCTCTTAATTTGGTGATATTGAAACTTCACTTAAGCAGTTCATGATAGAATTACTACTGTTTAGGTTGCTCCATTTTCGAGGGTCTACCCAAAACAGTCTCTCTATCTTACTAGATAGGATAAGGTATGCGTACACACTACCCTCCCCAAACCTTACTTGTGGGATTAGATTGGGTCTGTTGTTGCTATTGTTGTTAGGTTGCTTAATTTAGTCACATTTAATATTAACATATTGGTATTTGAATTAAAATTAATCTCATTTGATTCTTCATTACTATAAATTGGTTATAAATTAAGTTATTATTATTGAATGCTCTATGTAGATTATATCTTTCAAAGATCTCAATCAAAAAGAATTAATATGAACTTGAACGAAAACAATCAAAAAGCTTATTTTTTTAATCATCTGCAGCTTCCTTTTGTCCAAATATCATATGGGGTATCATAGAATAAAGAGTAAATTTATATCAGAAAGAAGGCTGTAATATCCTGTACTCATATATTCTTTGATTTCCTCATGGGATTTGGACAAAAGGGAGAAAATCAAAAATTCAGAAAATAAGTACTTTCACCTGAAATCATGTCTTGATATCCGACAGCAACAAATAATTATATGCTGAAAAGGAGAAATCTCCTCCATCTATGCATGTAATATCTCAAACCAAATTTTCCATACTTATGTTGTTTCTTAGCCAATTATAGAAGTATTTGTTTTTCGTGTCTCAACTAGCTTTATTTTTCCTTTAACTAACAATTGGCAACATTATAACCTATCCACGATTTTTATAAAAAAAAAAAAAAAAAAAAAAAGAGTTTTCTCACCAACACCAAATAAATATTAGCTAAATTAACCTATGTTGCTCGGACTTTCCAAAAATATCACCGAGTTCGTATTGAATTCTCCAAAAGTAGTATAGTTTTGGAAGATCCGACATGAATGCAGTAGCATTTTTGAAGAGTTTACATAACACGGAAATTAAAAACCCTACTTTAATTCATGAGTTAGTTGATAATATGTCTCAAATAGAAACTTAGAGGGAGGATGTTAATTCTATTTGACACTTGTCAATGTTCCCGAGAACTATAAAAATGCCAACTGAAATAAAATTTTCTGCACATCAGTAAAGTTCTCTCCTTTGATCATCATTGATATTTGTGTAAAATATTTTGTAGTAACTTAAAAGGATTTCACAGAACATAGTACTCACGCCGAACTGGAGGAATATATGCTGTGCTCTTTGTACTATCCCTAATTTGTCTACTTGTTGTCTTTCTATATATACTAGAAGAGTATGAGCGGCAAACAGGCGGGTCGGATCGGATATGGTTCGGGTCGAAAATGGGTAATGAAAAATACGGATCAATTATCCGACCTGACCCATATTTAATACGGATAAAAAACGGGTTAACCGGCAGATAATATGGATAACCATATTATCCATGACTTCTTGCATATTATCACTTTTGGGAGAATTTAGTCTCCCTAACTTGAGGAACTCCCAATTTGAGGCTTTTACAAATGTAAAAGTTAGACCCATTGGTTATCCATGGTTACTCATTATTAGTTATCCATTTTCTAAATGGATAATATGGTTCTTATCCATATTTGACCCGTTTTTAAAAAGTTCATTATCCAACCCATTTTTTAATAGATAATATGGGTGATTAACTGTCTTCTTTTAACCATTTTGCCACCAGGATAGAAGAGGAACGAACAACAAAGTAACAAGCTAAGAAGAAAGTAGCTAGAACTCAAAAGTATGGTTTCAGAGAGAAGAAGTGTTCTTAGAGGCTACATTAAAACCAGTAGAGGGTCATGGTTGGTTCACAAAACCACCAAAGACGGCAGTGTGGGTACACTTACAGTAGTCAGAATCTTTAATTTGATTTTCCATAGAGACTTGAACAGAATCTACATTAACCAATCTTGGCACGTCCTTTACCGGTTTCTGTCAAGATTGATCAAACACAAAAATCACCATATAATAGTTGAATTTCATTAAAGCTCTCCTTCAAACATCAAACCGAAGCAATTTAACATGCCACCATTGATCTAATATTCAAAACCATTGCTTCGGTTTGATGTTTGAAGGATTTGAGCTTTAATGAAATTCAACTATTATATGGTGATTTTTGTGTTTGATCAATCTTGACAGAAACCGGTAAAGGACATGCCAAGATTGGTTAATGTTGATTCTGTTCAAGTCTCTATGGAGGATCAAATTAAAAATTCTGACTATTGCAGTGAAGACCAAATTAAAGATGTAGATTACTGTAAATGTGTTGTTGACATGAATGTGGCAGAAACTGAGACAGCTCGGCTCCACTGAAGTGTTCAATGTCAATTTGAACTTATCACTCTCTTCCTAACTTTTTCTGTTGCAACAAAAATAGATTAATTTCAAGGTAAAAAAAAAAATACGGATATGCTAATCAGTATCAAATAACTTTAAAAGGAAACAACCTTGTGATCAATGTGGTTATCTAAGTCAATTATAGGCATGCTTGTATATTAAAATGTGCAAATTACAATATCAAATGAAGCTACTGCGAACTTTGTTAAAAAAAAAATGAGGGCGTGATTTTTATTAACTTAAGTTTCTCACCGCTATGTTTGCTTTATATATCCTTAGTCTTAAGTTTGGCATTTACCCATACAGTAATTCAAAGCAAGTTTATGTTTCTATCTACTATATGTTGTATAAATTAAATGGTGATGTCAGCTATCCCGCAGGACGGCTATAAATAATTTATAACTTAGCAACTCGTATTAGCTCAACTTGCACTTTTGAGTGACTCCAACAAATTAGTTTTAATAATAAAACAAACAGCCAACCTTTAGAACAATACTCATTTTGTGTTAATATGGTGGCTTGAATTGCTCTGCATTGTTGATTTTCTCCTTTGATTTTTGGCTATTAGTTTGGATCAAGATTTATAATGTTGCTTGTTTCAAACATGTGGGATGAGAAAATTCAAGTTTTATAGCTTTGATTTTCTGAAGGATTTATAATACAGTTTGTATTTTAAAAAGCAAAGGAGAATAAAATTGACTGACCAAGCCGCATTGGTTCAAATTTTCAATCAAAATTACTAGTAATGAGCAGAACTACTAAAGTGAATCACGAAATAAGTGAAACTCTCTTCATTGGGCAATTGGTGCCCTCACTAATTTTCACTATGAACAACAAAAATCACATGCTTTTCAGATGTACATTGTGCTCTATGCATAAACTTTGATAGCTGAAGGATCAGTTACAACAAGTCCTGTCGCGAACCGGTCACACACTCACACTCACAAATTTGCACAAACTGTCACAAAATAGTACTCGTGGGTGCAGTAGTATTCTTTGCTTACGGCCTTAAAATCCTTAATCGGGCTAGCCTCCGTGTCAAAAAAATTGAAATAGCAGCTCATTCCATACATCAGACACCCCTGGCAAGCACCAGTGGATGCAATCCGAGTAACTTGCAGGGTTTGCTAATTCCTCAGGGGAGAGTATACCATAAAATTTGCGATAAATGCTAGGGTGCCCATCTTTCCTGTATGCTGTAAGGCGTGTGATGTTGAGAACGGAGACCTTTGAGCCCAACCTAGCTAGTACTTTTTCCACCATCAGCGTTGTGGGCAAGTCGACGTTAGTTTCCCTGGTTTGGTTCCTGATGGGGAGCTTCTCGCCATAACAGTTTCCTCTTTTTCCTGGTTCCCATTCTTGTTTCCTGAATATACAGAGAAGCAAAAAGATGTAGCATAATTTCTTTCTGTATAGAAGATAAACAAAAGAAAAAAGAACAAAAAATAAAGCTAACAAGAAAATTGAGCAGTAACGATGTCATATTCATTGGAAATTATAAGACACTTACACATACAGATATGCATTTCTATGATCAGAATTGTGTGTTTTTCCTTGCTCCTCAATGTTTCATATGTTATGATCACACGAGCAGCATCATGCTCAAGACGAAGAAGTGATTATTATTCGCCTGAAGCATACGGTAGACAGAATGGAAGCTAACTAGGTTAATCAAGAATCTACGCTGAAAAAGTCTTGAACTTTTGAATTGGAAACCTGAACTCAACCTATGAGATGTTGGATCAGATACGTATCAGTCAACATAAAAAGCTTACATTGGCTAGGCAGAAGTTACAAAGTTCTGTTTCTGTAATGGCTCAGTTCATTCACGTACAATAAAACCATTTTCCTGTTAACATAATGACACCTTGCAGCACACTCTAGTGTACAGAATCAGCTAATATAAATTCATACCAACAATTAAGAATTCTTTCCCCCTACTGAGTGCGCATCAAAAACAGTATCTGACTTCTCTAAGAAAAAACAAGCAGTTCTAGTAACATTTGTGGAGGGCACTCATATATATCTGTACATTGGCAGTGAAATGGAGAACTATATATCTCCTGTAAACTAGTTTTGAGTTGTAATTTAGACATTTGGCAATCTGATTTGACAAACCTTACCAGGCACCATAGCAAACTTATAAAACTTCAAATGAAAAACTTCATACGTCAAAGTTCCTGATTTAGACCATTATAGATTCATGCATAAACTAACATTCAGCAATATAAAAGTTGGTCCTCACTTACAATGAATGTGTAGGAGACATCGTAACGAAAAAGACCTTCTTCTTCATGGGATCAACACTGGATTCTACCCAATTGGCCCACGCGTCCATGGCCAACTCCATGCCACTCAATCCATCTATTTCTTCACAAACTCCATTTTCTTCTGAGCTCCATCTAAGAAGGTAATGGAACTAATTAGATAGCAAATCTCTTGTACTGTATCAAATCTAATATGTCAACTACTTGTTCGTCGAATATATTTGACTTTCTTTTCAACTGGAAAGATGAACTTAAGTTGCATATCTGAAGAAGCCATGATCTAATAATTCACACTTACAATAGCTTAACAGAGCCCTTTCTCCACCAAAGATATGAATTAAAGACCAATATATCAGCATGAATCCAATGCGATGAATGCCTAAGATTTGAGTCAGGACGCAGTATTTTCTCAGGCAATCTGTGACCCATTGGCTCATCAGAATTTGATTCGACAAGAAATGGTGCCCAAAGGAACTCTATGCTGGCATTGTAATCCTGTAATCAACACAAAAACACTTGAATTTAGCACCAGGTGTTAAACTTTCTTTATTATGAAACAAACGCAAAATCATCATTTAAAGTTTAATATCACTGATACAATAACAGGTTATATTTTCATATAATGCTTTAAATTCACTTGACCTCTGCTCTAAAACTGGTGAGGTGATCCTGTTGTGTCATGAACTGCTTCTCAGCCGGAATAACAGATTGCATCAGACACACCATCGATAACCATTGTCCTCTATTCAGTGAATCGCCTACAAACATTAGTCTTTTCCCTCTTAATTTCTTCCACATTTCAGTCGAATTCCACCTATATACCGTACATTAACAAGTCAACAATGGTAACAAGAATTACAACAATTTTTGAGACGATTTTGATGAAAGAAAAGAAGTCATATATAGCAAATACAAAGAAGACAAGATGGTCTAAAATATAAAGGGGAAACCTTGAACCACTCTCGTAGTTAAGATTTTAGAATTTTTTTTTTAACTGAACTGCTTTCAACTATTGAATACTAAATCAGCAAGAAGCTTGACACTGCATAACAAGGTACAAGAATAAGTAGCTCTAGACCGTAGAAGATGTAATAACAACAACAACAATTACGTCTCAGTCTCAAAATTGTTGGTGAGTCCGAACAAGAGACAAAAGAAAGAAAGTTACCTCTTCAAATTGCAGTTGTGAGGCTGCCATCTCCAATACTGGTAATCCAGATCAGACCTTCCATATTTTTGGCAAGCTACTTGATCTGACATATATGGACAATCAGTTTCGTTATACAGTGGATGTGAAGTGTTATCAAAGACCCATTTTCCAGACGTGTAATCACACGTCTTTGATAGTTCTCTCCGGCCACCGGATCTCATTACAGGGCTACGCCATCTAGCTCTCCTTCCTCTATACTTAACAGTAGAATGGCAGGTACTTGATTTATCCAAAGGCACTATTTACAAAAAAAAAAAAAAAAAAAAAAAAATCAAACATATTCACAGGAAAATCCCATCAGGCCAGCTAAAGAAAAACATGAAATTAAACTATGCATTTTTAACCCCCAATTTCAACAGAATGTAGAAAATAATATATGGTAAAAATTCATTAACAAGTCATAGAGAACTTACTAATGAATGAAGGAAAAAGTTTGAAAAAATATATATAATTTTGACGATACCAAAAGTTTTTTGGACACTGACCTGGAGTATTTCTTGGGATGGTGAGGCTTTCATTATGACTAGATTTCGATAAAGGTTCTTTCTTGGATGACAATGTAACACCATTGAAAAAGGGGTCTTCTACATTATATAAAATGGAGAAGAATACGAAGAGGAAAAAGACGAGTGTTATGAGAGGATACTGTATTCTGTTCATCAGCCATATCTGCATTATGTATTTGTGTTTGTGACAATAAGAAAAAGGAATGATTTGAAGACTCTTGGTCGATAACGATTCAGTCAGGCATAGTTTTGTAGACAGCTGATAATGATGTTTAAATCGAAGCACGGCTAAGATTGATATCTGCTTATTGTCTATGATCAAAGTATGTTCTTAATGATAATTAAAACCTGGATGTGTCTAAAAAATAGATTGGTCCATCTATTGACTTGTTGATTTGCTTGTGTATTAGAATCTTTTTTTTGTTTCTTTACCTAAGAATTCATTAATCTTACATTCTGCAGAAAAGGAAGAAACTATTTCCAATTTAAGAAAGATTTGGTTTTTAATAGGTACTTGAATGATCATCTTTTCTGAAATCCGAGAGTTGCTTATATTCAGCATTTCTTCAACCCTCATATGTCTTATCCAGACTTTGCTAAAATACTATTTTCATCAAAGATTGATTACTTCGTCAATAGTATTCTATAGTTACAGGCTGTGATTCATTGCAGCAATTTCCATTTTTTGGTCATTCCAAATTCATTGCCCCTGCATTATATTTCGCGCTAAAGGTCCTTAACTGATTAAGCAAATCAATCATTGGACCTGATTTTTCATATAGAAGAACAAGCAACAATCGTGTCGCAAGGGGAAGTAACATGAAAAGTTATGTCATGATTACGCACAAAACATTAGTGAATCATTTCATTGTTTTAACCAACTACTCTTGCTTTGGCAATATCATAAAACTTGTAATTCAGATGTACAATGTGAAGAGCTAGCATCCAGCTGACTCTCTCCAAAGAGGACGCAATAGAGGCAAATAAAAGGTCCTCAACACGAGTTGGAGACACACTAATGAAATAATATTTCGATAGAATTAAAGAGGGATTTCAAGACAATGTTACCAAGTTCTTATTATCTCATAGCTAATATGAAGGAATCTGAGTATTCATAAAGACGATGAGTGAAACAGTACCTTTATACACCACTTAACTACTGACGTGGAAAATTATATATCTCCATCAATTATGTAGCATATTACTGTGCCTTCTCTCAGGCAAACAGTCCTCTACTTCTAGTTGATTGCTCTATCTCTTTCCTTGGCTCTGCTCGCTCATCTACGCTCCGATCCAACAAGTAATAATTGAAAATGATGCTTCCTTGCCTGCACTAAAATTTAAAACTTGT